AGGATCTGTCCCTGGAGAAGCTGCAACCCCAACTTCCACTGAGGTAGAAAGTAAAAATTCTGGGATTGTTTTTCCAGAATTTCAGAAAATTCTGAAAAATGTGGTTAGGAATATCACCCTGAAAAAAAAAAAGTCTAATTTTGAACACGGTACGAATATTGAAAAATACAAAAGAAAATGTAGCTTTCAACTCACAATTATTAAAGTTCAGTGTCATATTCTGTCAGCTGGTGCACGCTTTGCTCAGGGAGTTCTCCATGGCAGTCTGTTACATTCATTGGAGATGGGCAGAGGATGAGAAAGAGGAGACACAAGTGTGTCTCCTTATTCCCAAACCTTTGCCACATTTACTGGGGTAGTGGGGAGTCACCTTCCATGCAAGTGGGGCTGGGACTGGCCAGCCCTGCCTTGCAGCGCTGGCAATGGAGATTACTCACATTGAAGCAAATTTTGTATTTCTACAGAAACAAACTACTAAATGCTTGCAATTGCTGTCCTTCCTCATTAGATTGCTTGTCAAGCTGTGCTATGTAACAATCTAATTTTATTAAGTCTATCATTGCAGCAAGCAGCCAACATTAACTTGGTTTTCCTGTTCTTGATCCTGCACTGTCACCCATAAAGGTGGCACTTTTGGCTGGCACAGAGCCCCCTAAGTAGTTCAAATGCATTTCTTTGTGTGTGTAGTGGCAACTCGGTGCCCTGGTCATGGACTGTATTTGCCAGGATTTAGGTGGAGTAGGAAATATGTCTGTTAGACCCTGTCAGGTCTACAACATACTTTGCCCTGCTCACCAGCCAACCAACTGCATTTTGACTCTCAGCAAAATATAGTTCATCTCTCCATGGGAGAATTTTTCCTTGAAAAAAAACCAAAATCCCTGTTATAGACATTTTTTTTCCTTATTTGTATTTACTTAAGTCTCTTACTAGCTCTGTTTGATGTAATTATCATTTGCTGATTTAAACTGATCTCTAATACCTTATATTTGTGTGACTGGGAAAAAACCCATTTCTTATCAAATCAGAATTATATTTCAGCACTCTTAAACTTCTCCCTCAAAAGTAAAACATTAACATTAGGTGAAATGAGGCACATCACCTAATATGTTAATTATGGAGACAATCAATCATTAACTTTCTTAAAGATCTTGAGAATGATTCAGGATTTTAGAAAATGAATTATACTTTTTGCTTATATTTCTGTATTTTAAAAATACGTAGATACCTTGTGGACAAGATTTGAAAAACAGATGCAATAGTCTCAATTTAGCAAAGTTGTGTAGAGCTTTGCCAAAATACAGGATTTAGCTCTTTAGGATAAGCTTTCTGAAATATTTGAGCAGTTTTCTCCATAAAAATTTAAATGAAGCCTTACTATTTTCAGCTTGAAAAAAAAGTGGAGTTTTTATAATTTAAAAAACCAGGATCAGCTGGCCATGGTCATACATAGGAGTCATTTCTGCTGGGTGCTGAGAATAGAGAAGCACAAATTTGGAGAAATGTTTGGGGTTTAGCAGACATTTCTTCAGCACATCCCATTTTTTGCTTTTCCTAAGTTTTGGCTCTCACTGGTCAGAGACTCTGTGGTCAATGAGGAACAAAAACTCCAAAATCAGCAACCTGCCTCAGGTCTGTCCTGGAGGGAGGGAGCAGTTTCAAAGGATGGTGTCTCACCCCTGGTAGCTGCTTACAAGCTCCACTTTGTGTTTTTCTGAGGCATGAGAAGGGATTTTTTTAAAGCCTCTAACTGGGCTGTAGCTTTCTCTTCCTAAAGCTCATGGAAAACTCACAGATATTCTCACTTTAGAGTTTACCCTTGACTCCACAATGGAGGAAAGGAAGGAATTTTGGGAAGGCACCAAAGGAGGTTGGGTAACAAAATCAAGAAGCCCCCCACAATCCCAGACTGTGGTACCTGTGTGTGCCTTTGCCCTCAGCCTGCTCTTTCAGAGCTCTGATTTTTGCAGGGACAGCTGCAGATCTTCTCAGGCCTGACAGAGTTCCATGGAAGATGCTCACAAACGTTCCTCCAGTGCTGTGCCTTCCTCTTCTGCTTTGCTCTCAAGAATGAAGACATTCGTGGGGAACACATGGTATTTGGAGTAAGGAGTGCTTAGTAAACTCAAATCACGCCTTTCAAAACTGCAAACCCAAAGTTACACTCCCAAGCCCATGTTTAGGCTGCTGCTCCTGTTGGCAGGTTTTTAAGAGTGTGGAGCTACCTCTGGCTCCAGCTGAATGAAAAGCACTGTCAGAAGTCAGGCATCTCCTTTCAGAAATGTGGGCACTTGATTTAGACAATCTTGGCAGAATGCACATGACAAGGATGCTTGTGTATGCACTTTAAACAGAATCAAAGTTTTCCTTATATCAGAATGGGGGAAAAAAATCAGAAAATACCATTTTGAAGTGAAGCCTAAGCCGTAGGCTTTGCGTAAGTGCTGTTTGGAGTATACTCGGAAATAAAGGAATTTTCTTTCCTTCTTACATGGAATTTAGCAGGTTTTCCTGTGCCTGAAGACTGCAGGTGTTATTGTCTTTGGCTTCCAAGGGGAAACCTGTGCTTTTGCCTGGAGAGTCGTGTGTCTTATTTGTGCATTTTGAGAGGCTATAATAATACTCACCAACACATACATTTTTACATGGAAAGGTATAGCAGTCTCTGTGTCTGCTGTGGAACAAAGCATTTGTTACTTTTCCCCACCCTAATAAACTGATAGATAAATCACGTATTCTCTTGCACTCTGCATTTCCTTCTGTTTCGTAAAATGTTTGTTTTGTAGGTACATGTAACATTTGTTTAATGTGCAGGAGGCAGATGAGAGAGGAGAAAAGTGACCGTGAGGCACTGAAGGTTTTACACATTAGCTTTAGACGTGTTTAGTTGCTCTGTGTAGTTGCATTACTACACAAAGAGAGATTATCTTGACATGTGCTGGTTTGATTTTAAATAGAGAGTAGGTGTTTCTTAAAGGGCAATGTGATGTTAAATTGGAACTGGGCTGAAGCAAACACAGGCTTTCTCCTTTGACAAGCTTACAGTCTCATTAGGGTAAATTACCCTGCACTGAGCTCCCTGTATGATTAGATAGTTATGGGATCCAGCCTAATTAGTTTAAAGCTGGCTTGGGTATCTCTGCACAACACTTGTTATTTTTGTGCTGCTCTGGAGGCACAGTCTGAAGTCTTCATTTGAAATCCATTAAAGTCAAAGCAGCTCTTTCTGCTGGTTGAATGAGCTTTGCATGAGGCTGAAAACATGTCAAGAGTACAGCACAGAAAAGAGAGAGCCTGGCAACGTGGTGCAGGCCTGGCATGTCTGTGGGCATGCAGTGCTGGCATGCAGGCACAGGGTGGCACGGGATGGGGATGGCAGGGTCCCCTCAGGGACCGGGCCAGGGACACGGTGAGGGGGGGCCTGTGTGTGATGGAAAAGGACAGCGAGGACAGGGAGATAGGCCAGAGCACCAGGGAGAGGAGAGAAGAGTTGTGAGGAGTTTTGCCAGTGATGGGAGAGGCTTGGATTTCATCTGAAGGAGGCCAGAAGGGCAGTCTGGCAGGGCTGGAGCAGCCCCCCGAGGAAAAGTGCTCAGCCAGTGCCTCTGGGAGAGGTGGGTGAGCAAAGCAGGGCTGGCAGCTGCCACAAACAGCACTGGGACAGCAGGGACAGACTGGGGGAGCAGGAAGCACAACCAATCTGGTGGGGCATGTTAAAGCCTTCCCTTTCCCACTGCATGAAATGATTTGCTGCAGTTCTGTCCAGAAATCCATCCTGACAGCAGTGGGGGAGCAGCAGGTGAGCCCCAGGCACTGGAACAGACAGTTGCTCCTCAGACTGGTGGAGACATGAACATGCTAAGGAGCGATACACTTCTAAAAAAAAAAATCTAAAAAAGCATAGCAAGCATATTTTAGGGCAGGATGGAATGTTTGCTCAATTAACTAGTCAAAACAGGATTTCTTTGTGTTTCTCACAGCACTGCAAAGGGAACTCCCTTTATGAGAATTAAATTCTTTGCCTGTATTTTCATTACCCAACATATACTCTCTTCAGGAGCCTCACTAGTGTTAGCTGATCCCACTCTCTGCTGTGGATTGAAGAAACTCTGTTTTCTCCTGACCTGACTGGATACAGAAACAACAGGGTCAAAATTAGACAGCTTGTTCAAAACCTCTGAAGGACTTGCTGTCACGGGTAATGTCACAATGCTGTTCTGTCATGGAGGTAGGACCATAAGATTAGCAGAAATCATGTTTTCATCAAGCCTTACCTGCTGCCACCATGGTTTTTTATGTCTGGAAAGTCTAGAATGGTCTTCAGAACACCCATTTCATGTGCCTCTACAAACTGCAGGTTGCAGGACACACCCTATAACAAACTTCAAACCATTAATTTCATATAAAAGATCAAAAGCTGTAAACTGTGTCCCACTGGAACAGATCTAGCGTGAGAGCTTCGTTCTGCTCTTAGATCCTCACATTAACGTGGAACTTGTTAAGTGACATTCCCAGATTAACTGGAGAGCAAACTATGCACTACAGTACACAAGAAGACAAACCAATTATGATGATGTTCCTTAACAATATGATCAGAATTAAAAGTTTTGCCTAACTCTGTGCATCAAAAGTGTGTAATACCATAAAGAGCATTAATACCCTGAATATATATAATCTTTGCTGCTTCAGGGAAAAGGCAGCAATTTCCCCTCTTCCACCACAAGTCCTAAAAAGTTGTATGTATAAAGGAGAAATATATACAGTTTCCTAGCTTATTTTGGACAACAGGGGTACTGCACAAATATGGTGCAACAAGCACAACCTCCTTAACATTAAAAGGGCACGTTCAACTCAGACGAGACCAAACTAAGCAGACCCTCACCCTCTCACCTGGTCTCTTGTGGGACTTGACATTGTCTCATAACTCTGAATCTTCTCTCCTTTTTTAAATGTCCTACTTGAATTAAGGATATCAGAACCATGGTATTTTTTTTTTTCAGGGTTTACACCAACAGAATATGCAGCAGGAATGTGTCGTCTTTGCTTCACCCAGTGTTTCCACCCAGAGACCTGGGGATGGGGTAAGTCATTTTGGCCCATGTTCCCTGTGATGCTGGGGTTGGTTCTGCTTCCCCTGCAGATCAGCTCACCAAGGAGGCAGTGACAGCCTGTGGTGTCCAGGCCAAATGCACAGACTTACATCTGGCTGCTTCCAGTGCACACAGCCAGTCTGTCAAGCAATTGCTTTCTCCTGGAGCCCTGCTCTTATTGCTATTTACCATCCTCAAATAGATGTGTCATCAGGGGATTTAATATCCAAACAGTTTGTATTTTTTTCGGTTTATAGGTAAAGACACTGAAAAGCCCAGTGTCAAAGACCAACCCTGTGCAACGCCATTAAAAATACAGTTAATTAATGATGAGTCTCCTTTGCAATTGTATTTGTGGACCCATCAGTGAAGTGGCTGTGGACTGATGATTGCAGAGTGATGCTGTGCTCTGTGTTTGCTAGTTGGTTGCCTTCAACACACGAGAGACCTCAAGAGAATAAACACTGGTTTGCTCCAGAGAGGTCAGTGCCATCCAATGCAGCTCTTGGCTGCAAATCTGAGGGGATTTACTCTGGGCCCTTCACTGACTCACTGTAGAGAAGAGCAGCTCTTACATCAGGTGCAGGGTCAAGGCTGGGAGGCCCTGGAGATCTCAGCCTTTAGGTGCTTGTGCTCTGACCAGATTGAGTTGCTGCTCTGCTGCAGCCTCTGAGAAGCCCTTTAATCCCTTTAAACTGTGTTTTACCCCTGTGTTTCCATGTGCTGTAGAGCTGAAGGTAGGCAGAAATGGGATGATGCAATACCTATGTATTTATTTCTCTGTTAACCATCTATTGCAGTCTGTACTATTCAGAAGTGAGGTTTTAACCTCATTCCTGCTGTACTGTAGTGAACAGGATGCCTGGGAGACAGGAGACTGAGCTGGAATGGATCCTGAGCTGAAGGCTGACCGGGCGAGTCACACACTTGCTGTGACACAGATCTGCAGCCTGTAACCATTCTCACACATGGTTATATGCACTTCTGCCACAGCTCTAAAACAGTTCAGCTACTGCTGACTGCAGCCAAGGCCAGTTTGCTTTTGATGCCATGGGAAGCTGTGAGCCTGAGCGGTGGCTGCTGCCTGACAAGGTGACAGCCTTGTTGCTGTAGTAACTACACATTAGGGAAGAAACAGAAACATTTTTGGTGTCACTTTTGTCTGCAGAGCCCAGACAGCACAGCACAGTTCAGTGACTGCCTTGGGATGTGCAGACGCCCTTGCTTATCTTGGGTTTTGTTGGAGTTTTTTTCCCAACAATGCAGCTTTTCACTTTACAGTGGTGGAAACATGGGTGCCTTTGCTAACAGCAAGTGAAGAAAATGTAGCTTGAAGTGTGATAACAACTGACAGACAAACATGGTTGATCCTTCTCTCTACTAAACATGCCACATGCAAACAGAAATATAACCTGGCAGAGGCTTCATTCACTCAAAAGTGAGTGAAATCCCAAGGTCCATTAGCTATATCATGGCAAATATGTAAGCCTACGCCTGTTCTGTTATTCACAAAACAACTATTCCAATAATACTGCCTTGAAGATGCAAAAAATACCCCCCAATGCTCATTATGGTCTTTGTTTTGCATTCACTTCCAATTTTTAGACATAATTTCACTAAGGGAATCAATAGCTCCTAGTTGTGGACACTCAACAATTTCTCTATGAGTTGCTCAAGAAACAAATTGTTTCTTTGTTTTGGTAGAACCTTTGGACTAACTTGAGTGTGAAGACTTTTTTTACATGTTTTAATATATTTTAGCTTCTTTCTGGTTTGCATTCCTTCTGATGCTGCCCTGGCTACCTTTATAAACATCTGAACAGTTACTCTGTTTTCAGATACAAAGAACAATAGCACCTCAAGCGCAGTGAAAATACCAAATATTGATCTGTCTCTTGAATGCCAGAAAAGCTCAGCAGGAGGCACACAAAATATTTCTGAAAAACGATAGCTTATCACCTGCAGACCTGCAGATTGCTGTCTATTATTACAAAGACTTGCTGGGGGGCTCCAGTGACCTCCAGCCTTCAGCTATTTGTGTCCCTTCCAAGGCAAAGAGAGAAAAATCTCAACCCTCTCCACAATGTTTGCATTCACCTCGTTTGCCGTGTTTTTCACCTCGGCTCTGGAGGTGCACTGGGACACACCACTGGAACACATCAGCAGCATCAGAATTGCACAGCAGGGCTGGAACCTGCTGCATGAGCTGCTTTCAGAGCAAAGATTTGGCTGGCTTGTTTACAGCCTTGCTGTATCCCTATCACTTAATCCTGGGGGGGGGGGGTTGGAGATGTGACTGTTGCTATACAATGTTGCTGGATTCCTGTTTAAGAATCAAGCTGCACCTTTAATCCTAATTTGCACTCTGTGCTCTGATGTGGTAATTATTTCCCTGTTAAAAACATGCTTGTGTTACCCTGGGGATACCAGAAATGTTAATGCTGCTTTTCCAGTCAAATTTGGCCCCGTGAGGACGAGGGTTTCTGTTTGCTCCTCTGACTTGTTGGGTGGCAGTGGCACCACTGCCCAGGGGCACTCACAGGCCACCACAGGACACTCAGGGAGCTGGAGGAGTCACTGTGATCATCAGAGTCATCCTTTCTGGAGAAACAGAGACTACTTCTATTTTGGCCTTTGTTTTTTCTCCTGCACAGATGATGTGTGGTCCCAGCAGCCCCATTTCCCCAACTGTTGGGGTTCTGCCCCCAGTGCTTCCCAGATGGACCAAGGGTCTGGGCTAATGGTCTCTCATCGGGGAATGCAAAGGGTGGTGCTTGAGGGAGCAACCAAGGAGAATTTGAACCCTGATCTTGTAGTGGAGGGTGAAAGAAGTGATCTGTGGATGGTGCACTGCCCTGTGATGGAGCTGTGCTTGAGAACAGCCACAGCACACAGCCCCTTTGGCTGTGCCTGCGGGGCTCGGAGGTGCAGTGTCCCTGTGTGTCTGGGACAGCACCGTGCTGTCACACAGGCTCTCTGCCCGCCTCCCCTGTGCTCATGGCATAGTAGTGAGTGATAGAATCCCCTTTGACCCTCCTAACTCTGCGTCACAACGGCTACAACAGTCCAGCAGACATTACACTCAGCTAACTTGAAGTTTTGTGTGAGTACGTGGTGGTGTCCAGTTTAACAGCTGTAAACTGATAGTGTGCCTGTCCCTTGTCCCACTCTCAGGAAAGGTGGCAATACTGGTAGGTCTTCCTTGTTTTTCTGGAGAGAAAACAGGCAGAGGGCAGTATTTGGGATGGGGTAGGGAAGCCTGCCTGATGAACAGAGGGAGAAACCAGAGCTGAGCACAGCTGAACTGGGTTTCTGTTCACACTTGGGAAACTTAAGCATACCAACACAGAAGGTAGGTTTGAATGAGTAAAATTTGTGCATGGCATAAATCCACCCCAAATTACTATTTTTTAAAATTTCAAGTTTCAAAAAGCTCTATATCAATGGATATTACAAAGGAAATCCCTTCCAGTGCAGTTGATTTTTTATGGTCTACTGCTAGGTATGCTCTAACTACTTTCAAATTCAAGGTGATACCTCTGTTCTCTTGCCTTTAGTCCAGAATTAGGTATCTTGTAGTCCTTTTAAAATGTCACATCAGTTGCTATCACAACTGAGGCTTCCTCATGTCCTTCTGGTTTGGCTTACTCAGTCATTTCAGTGCACTCATGGTGTGTACCTGTGGTGTTCTCAGGACTTTGCTAACATTTCACTCAGTCTTACTCTGAATTAGCCATCCATGTGAAACATAGGGTCATATGCACCCTACTATGACCCACAAATAATGAATGTAACACTAAAGCTGAGCTTATCCCAGTATGGGCAGAGTCTGCCACTGAGAAAAGATTTTTCGAAAACTGTGGAAATAAAACCCAAACAAACCAATGCTGAGAGCATCAAATCTCTCTTTTTTTTTTAGCACAAAACTTCCATATTCCCCAGTGGTTACTAACACCTGAGATAATTTAATTTAACTCCTAGCTTTTGTATCTTAAAACTTGTTTCCTCTCCTATATAAAAACGATCAGCCCTTGTGGAAATTGCTGTGGGAATTAAAATTTAATTTTTTTTCTTCTGTTTTACAACAGAGGGAGCTCTAAAGAAGCTTATCTTTCCACAGAAAGAGTAAACAGACTGCATCTTCAAAAGTGCTTGGGGAAACAAGTGGCCTGGTCCCGGTGAGCTGTGGTGACAGTGATGTGAGGGTGTTCCCCAGGCAAGAGCAGACAGCAGGGTGGTCCCAGTGCCAGCTGGAAGGTGGGATCACCACCTTGGTGGCTTTGAATGTCTCATGGAGCCCTGTGCTTCCCCGGGTACAAACCGCACACCAAAGGGCTTTCATGCCTTGAAGATGGATCAGGAGCCAGGCTGGTACTGAGTGAGCGAGTGTGTGGGGAGAGACTGGGCCTGGTTTTATCAAAACCAGCTGTTGACAATGGAGACCTAATATCTGGCAGGGACCTATGGATTTTTTAAACTGTATTTGTATATACAGTACCTGGAAACTCAAGACCAAGTTCTTCCAAAAATCAGTTTGATTTACACTTTTGGGAGAAAAAAGGCATGACATTTGGAAAAATAGGGGGTTTTTGCTGTTACAATGCAAATATGAGTTTGGCTATGTTATTAATGCTTTTCCAAAGGGGTTCTTTTTACCAAACATACAGGAAAATAGATTGGAGAAAAATGACAAATGCCATCCAGCCCTGCTGCAGCATCAAACTTTAGAAGCAGCAGGGTGTTGTTTATGGACTCAGTATCCTCTGTTCTCATAAGGTCATCTTTGCTCTAGTCCTTGAACCAAAGCTTTTTGTTAGCAATCACATATTCATTGTCTTTCAGAGACTGTTGTACTTCAGTGAAATCACTCTTTTTCTAAAAAATAAAAACCTAACCCCCCCCAGTCCTTCCCCAGTTGACAAGTCCTCTTTAAAGTATAACGTGGTGCAGCAATCTGCACATCCTGCTGACACACTAGAAACTATGTTCAT